ATACATACACACACGTATATACATACACACACACACACACATATATATATTATAGATATATAATTTTATTTATAATTATACATACACACACATACACACACACACACACACACACACACACACACATATATATAAACAAAAGTACACAATTACACAACAGTGACCTACAATAAACAGTAGGGCACATCAACAAACGCACAATTTTTGAAAACTCTCATAGTGTGAACAGAAAAAAAGATATGACGACTAGGAAACTTTTTCAAGTAACGATACACACACAGTAAAGTGACATACAATAAACAGTGTGGAACAACAACAGCTTATTGCACTGTTCGTGCGCAGTGGGTCGTCTAAACCAAGAAGTAATGCTTTTCCTAGATGTATCTACTTTAGGCACAACTTCAGAGCTAGTAGTGTTGGACGCTGTCGGGACTTTAGGGGATTGTTCAGTCATAGTGGAGTGCTTTGGAAATGGGCCCAATACGATGTATATCTATTATGAACTTCTCAGTGTAACACACAAATGTATCTAATTATGTTGTTTTTGTGTGTTCTTTCTATACAATACAAGCAGAGAGTACTGAAGGGGGCATGCTAACCTCGATACGTTTTGCGTTCAAACGAATAAACTGAACAAATATACGTTTGTATTCGCTGACCCTATGGTTGTCAGTACGGGCGGATGCTAAGAGCCCTATTATGTTCAAAGTTTCCAGGAGTTTTACTTTATGGTGTCCGTTTAAAATTTGCACTATAGAAAGTAAATTTGTCCCAATGATTTTTACACCTTTATACGTTTTTCTGTACTACGACATCAAATAAAAAGCGTTTACGCTTTAAAAATTGATATTGTACCTCTACGACCTCTCTAGTCTCGATCTTCACACAAGAAGCAAATAAATAATCCCATGTGAACGCAATACCGAAAACGCCATAGATTATATTAAAATTGACCAATACGAAACAATTTCTTACTAGTAAGTGATACTGTCATCAGCCTAATAGTACATAGCAAGCACAAACACGGGTGTGTGATCCAAAACCAGAGAGATACGGCTGCATACATACAAACTGTACACTATTAATAAATACAATCGATAGCCTGTAACAAGCAGATACGTTTATAAGATAGGCAGGGGGATCGATTGAGATATATATACATTGTATTGTGTTGACGAGTTGGTTACTCTTAAGCAAATCAGTATCAATATAGCTGCAGTATAGATTCAAGTACTAAATATCCAGTACTAGTTGACTATAGTCCCACTTCACCATGAGTACCCAAACCGAGGTAATGACCAGAGGGGATGGCCGTACGAACGCACAGATGCGACCACTGGAGAGTGAGCAGTCACCACTAAACAGAGCAGACGGGTCTTCAAGGTTTTCACACGGAGATACTAGTGTATTAGTAGGTATATACGGGCCTGTAGATGTAGCTATACACAAAGAACAAATAGATAGAACAACTATAGAGGTGAATGTACGGGCTAAAGGCATTCCTGGTATTTCAGAGAGGGCGTGGGAAGTAAAGTTAAGGAGTGTGATCGAGAGTTTGGTGCTAGGAAGTGGATTCCCTCGAACAAGTATAGTCATCTCCGTGCAGGCATGATATATTCTCATATATATATATATATATATATATAC